CTGGACCATCACGCTCAAGACTTGCAGTCAATGACTTGATGTCCAAGTGGGAGCAGTGACAAGTGGTGTTGCTCAGGGGTTGGTATGGAGCCCAGTGCTTTGGTGGTGACATGGATGCTGGGATTGAGTGTACCCTCAGCAAGTTTGCTGACGACACCAAGCTGTGTGGAGCATTTGTCACGCTGGAGGGAAGGGATGCTATCCAGTTGGGCCTGTGCAAATCTCATGAAGTTCAGCAAGGCCAAGTGCAAGGTCCTGTATGTGGGTCGGGGCAATCCCAAGCACAAACACAGGCTGGGCAGAGAATGGATTGAGAGCAGCCCTGAGGAGAAGGACTTGGGTGTGTTGGTGGGTGAGAAGCTCAACATAACCTGCAGCGTTAGCAGCCCGGAAGGCCAACTGTATTCTGGGCTGCGTCAAAAGAAGCAGGGCCAGACAGTGGAGGGAGGTGATTCTTCCCCTCTACTCTGCTCTAGTGAGACCCCACCTGGAGTACTGCATCCAGCTCTGGAGTCTGCAACATAAGAAGGACATGGATCTGTTGGAGTGAGTCCAGAGGAGGGCCATGAAGATGATCAGAGGGCTGGAGCACCTCTCCTATGAAGACAGGCTGAGATAGTTGGGGTTGTTCAGCTTGGAGAAGAGAAGGCTCTGGGGAGACCTTATAGCAGCTTTCCAATATCAGAAGGTGGCCCACAAGAAAGCTGGAGAGGGACTTTTTACAAGGACATGTAGTGATAGGATGAGGGCTAATGGCTTCAAACTGGAAGAAAGTAGATTTAGAGTAGATGTCAGGAAGAAATTTTTCACTGAGGGTGGTGAGGCACTGGAACAGGTTGCCCAGGGAAGCTGTGGATGCCCCATCCCTGGAAGTGTTCAAGGCCAGGTTAGATGGGTCTTTGAGCAACCTGGTCTAGCATGAGGTGTCCTTGCCTACAGCAGGGGGGTTGGAACTAGATGATCTTTGAGGTCCTTTCCAATCTAAACCATTTTGTGATTCTGTGATCATTGTGCGTTTTTTGTGTTCAATTTTTTGTGCAGACTACTATATTTTGTGGTATGTGGTGCTAAACCATCTGTAGTGTTATGGGTTTGGTAGTGATTGTAGAGAAATATTTTGTTTTCCTACTTTTAGGAAAGTTTTTTGGTGTTTTGGGGGGTATTTTGTTTGTTTTTTATGTCTTACACTTGTCTGTAATTCTTCTCGAAGGAGAAAACTGGATGAAGTGGTAGAGGCTTGTCAAGAAGGTGGGAGTGGAAAATGTACCTTACAAGCCAAGCTTGCTTGAGATCTCTGGTTCTTGTCTGTCCTTTCCACTTAATGTCTCTGTACACTCATAACAACAGTGCGCTGCAAAATGCAGATTTCTGTGCCAAACAGCTTGAGAAAATTCAGATAACGGTCAGGTGTTTTGCACAGCTTGGGCATTCTGTTTTTCCACAATTGTCTTACATGATAGTGCAGTTTCTGTCTTACAAGGTTTATCTTGATGCTTATTGTTTTCAGTTGTATATTCTTCATGACATGTTTTAATTCACAACAATATCTGACCATCCAACAGAAATCTTGGCAATAAAGTATATGTCTGTCCCAATTTCTTCCAGTCAAATGGGGGCTCTGTGGCTATACCATAGATCATGAACAGTCATGCAGCTCAAGGGTTGGTTAAGGTATCTGATGGGATGTCTTACAAGCTGTGAAAGTAGCAAGTAGGTGAGATGAAAAAATAACTTGAGGGCCAGTCAATCTGTTTACGCGTGTTGGAGCAGTCAGTGATGTGGTCCTCCATCACAGCAAGTCTGTGTTAACAAACAAGTTGTTAGTCCAGCCCTGGTAGTGGTGAAGTACTGGCACTTGCAAGACCATGCTTGGGTTGATAGCAAGTTTCAAATTTCAAAATGTCTATTGGGCAAGAAGGGGAATATATGCACTCACTTGAGGAGCACAGTTATACCAAGGCTTCAGCAGCCTCTTGCACATCTGTGATCTATGAGGTTCTCGGTCTTGCAGCCATATATAGCTGCTTACTTTCCAACATCAAACTGGTAACAAATTAGTTGGTGTGAAGAGTGCTGGCTCCCAAATGGCAATTACTGTTTTCCACTGAGATTAATGGGAGACATACTTTTGCTTTGCTTACCTATTACAGATGAGCTTTTATAAGCCTCCCTCTGTTTTAGTCTTGCATTCTCAACACGGTGATGATCATTCCAGGTTTAAAGCTTGGAGTTTGGTGGTGGACCCAGCTGTAGTAGCAGATAGGAAGTAATAGTTCTGATGGTGAGCCTTCCTCAAAATCTGTGTTATGCAAACATAAAGGACTGTAAAAACATCTTTTCCATGTTTGTGCTGTAATTCAGCAAGAACATGAAACTACCTTGTAATCAGACCAGGTGGAAAAAGTAATTTTACTTACTTTATGTATCTTTACAGTATATTTCAGGAAAATAGGACCTTAGAATGCCAGAATGCAAGTCAGAAGTAGTAAAGTACCTGTGCTACTGTTTTGTGTGATCTAAAGATTGCACATGACCTTGCATTTCCCTTTTTTCTCTTTGTGCTTGCCCTGGAAGCAGATTTCTGGAAAATGGGGCTCTTCCAGATTTCCATTATATCCGTCTGTTGCCAAGACCTCCTGGTGCTTTTGCACACAACAAAACTTTGAGAGGGATACGGTGTGATGCATTTGAGGTTACCAAGCTTGGCAGAGTTCAAGCAGCGTGTTGCATGACTTGCTAAAACCAGAACGATGTGTTTTGTTGCATATGTTCATTTCTTACAGTAAACTTAGTAAGCTGTTCAGAGTTGCCTGGAGTGTCTGGCTCAACTACTTAACTTGAAAGACCAAATTATAGCCATGTATTTGCAATCATATCTGTGATTGAAATGTACATGTAAAGAAGCGGGCAAATTGCAAGTTAAAAAATTGTGATATTAAAAGTGAGTTTTTTTCTGGAGTTCTCAAACAGGTTTCACTGATAGTGGGCTAGCCACTTAAACCTGACTGTGGATGTAGCTAAAATCTTAATTTCTTTATGCCTAAGAGTTCCATT